ACCCCCCCCCCCCCCCCCCCCAACCAATATAGCTTGCTCTGCACCTTCAGCACACTACCTGCTATCATACTTAATGATCCGGTACCATCAAGTATGTGTATTAAGAAAACAATGCAAATATGGACAACACAAAAATACATAACTACATACATCTATAATGGCCCTGCCTGGCTAGGCTCGTTAATGACCAAACTATGCCTATGTTATGTGCTATGCAAAGGCTCCCTATACAGCAGCAGTCCCCAACCTTTTTAGCACCGGGGACCGGTTTCATGGAGGAAAGTGGTGGAAATGGAGGCAAAGTGGGGGACGGGTAGCTGTTTGCATTGGGGGTGGGTCGTGGGTCCATTGCGCATGTGCGGGGAAGCAGGTTCATAACATTTACAGCCGAGGCAAAAATTTGCACACGAGCGCCAGTGCAGAAAAGCTACTGGCTAGAAAAGAAAAAAATAAGCAGTGTGGGGTCCCCCTCCCAAACCATAGCAGACCTTTTAAGTCTGGTAGGAATATTAGGAGGAACCCCAAGTAAAAAAAAAAAAAAATGTGTGGGGTTCCACCCAAAAGCCATACCAGGTCCTTTAGGTCTGATAGGAATTTTAAAGAGGAACCTCACCTAGTAGTGTCCCCCTAAAATACCCAACAGACCCTGTCCTGGGCTCAGGCCTCACAGGGCAGGAAAGGGGGGGACGAGCGAGCGCCCCCCCTGCCATGCCAGATGCCCTCGCCACTACAAGGGTGCTTTTCCAGGGTCCCCCCTGAAAAAGCACATGGTCCCCGTGCCGATGGGAACAAGGGTCTCTTCCCCACAAGCCCTGGGGTGTTGGTTGTGGGGGTCTGCGGGCAGGAGGGCTCATTTGCATTGGGGTACCCTCTTTAATAAAGGGGCACCCAGATGCACCCCCCCCTTGTGAATAATTAAGGGGTACTTTTACCCCTACCCATTCACTAAAGGGTTAAATAAAATATAAATAAAGAGACCAGACTTTTAGGGAAAATCCTTTAAAGGAGAACTATGAGATGAGTGATTTCCACTCACCTCATAGTTCTAGCCGACCTGTGACAATGAGACTGTCACAGGTCGGCTCAGTAGATCGGGAGGTGAGCGAACACATACCGGGTTCGCTCACCTCTCGATCCTGTCACGGCTCTCTGCCGTGACAGGGGGAGGGGCTGGATTCCCCTCTCCCCGCTCCGATCTGCCAGCGCTGACTGGCGGAACGGACGGGGGAGGGGGCGGGTACAGCTGGCTCTGCCTCTAGATAGGCAAAGCCAGCTGTCACTCACGCAGCTGGGCGGATCCCGTCGTCTAAGTCGGGATCCGCTCCGGCTGCGGCGTCTCAGTATACCGTGAGCTGTAGCTTGCGGTATACTGAGCTTAGGGTAACGGGAGGACGCTAGTTTGTGTCCTCCCGTTACCCCAAGGAGAACTATGGGGAAAACACTGACCCCATAGTTCTCCTTTAATTGATAAAAAAAAACACAAGGAATTTTGACAAAAATTGATCCAGGGTCAATCACGACCCTGGATCAAAAAAACAACATAATCCAGGGTCAATCACGATGACAACACCAGGGCAAAAAATAATAATTACGCCCGCTGACTGGACCACACGCAATGAACTCCCGCAGCAGAATGAAAAATCTGAGAGATGCAGGCAAAATATAAACAATTGGGCGGAGCTAGCGGTAACCACCGCTAGCACCACCCAACTGTTTACATTTGCCAGGCACCTGCCAGAGTCTTCCTGCAGGTCCCGGACAAATGAAAACAACTGGATGGAGCCGGACAGCCCAGTGTCCTCAAATAACCAGAGGACATTGGTCTGTCATTGAAGGACAACAACTGGGCGGAGCCAGCCATGACATCGTGGCTGGTTCCGCCTAGTTGTTATCATTTGCGGGGGAAAAGGTCGGCTTCGGCAGACTGTTCTTCACGCTTCGGCTGTCACTTCTGCTCAGTCGAGCTGAAGCATATGCCTTGGGCTTGGCTGAGCCGCTCGGCCCTCTTCCACTGCTGTATGGGCTATGGTGAAAGGGCCGAAGGGCTCCGTCAGCCGAAGTGAACTGAAGGATCAGCCGAAGCTATAGCTGGATCCTACGGCTCCATAGTGAATAACCCTCTAAATAACACTGGAGGAATTCATCAAAACTAGAGCAGACTGAATCTGGAGCAGTTTCCCATGGCAACCAATCAGCTTCTCTTTTCAGTTTATTTAGTTAAGATTTGAAAGTTATACAGAGAAGCTGATTGGCTGCCATGGACAACTGCTCCAGATTCTGTCTGTTCCAGTTTTAATTCCCCTCACTGACAATGAGCCCCCATTCACACCTAGGCATAACTTGAACGTGCACAAGTATGAAGTAGTCACCTGCACACCAAGGTTCATCGTGTTATACGCCTTTATTCAGATGGTAAACATACATGGTGGCACCAGTGGGCAGCAATGTTTCCGAACCATTAGAGGTTACCGTACTTCTTCAGGTGATAAAGTGACTATGTTTTGCCTGAAGAAGGAACCTCTAATGGTTCGGAAACCTTGCTGCCCACTGGTGCCACCATGTATGTTTAGTGTCTGAATAAAGTCATATAACACGTTGAACCTTGGTGTGCGGGTGACTACTTCATACTTTTGGACTTACGCGGCACCCTCCGCTGGTCATACCAGCACCCATCTTATTGCATTAGGATTCAGGTCTAGAGTGCGGTGGGACAAAGATTATTATAAATGCACACGAAAGTGCGTGCTTTGACACACGTTCACAAAGCGCGCACAAGCGCAGAAAGCGATTGCATTGCCATTAGTAGTTAAATGAACTCCAAAAGGTGGCCAAACAAATGTTATCTTTTTTATGTAAACGCACGGGGGGGGGATGGGGGAGAAACAGTGTATGTCACAGAATTTGCTACATGCACTTCTTTCCTGTGTTGTGTTTGGCACGCATCCAGGAACCCAAAGAAATTAATGCGGACGCACGCTGAATGCGTGAAACAAACGCCCGGGAACACGCGTCACCACAACACACATTCTTGCTATGATTAGGTGTCAATGGGGGATTAATGACACTGACCCTGACACTATTCTAGATCAGGCCCCGATCTAGCTACTTTAGCTTTATCTATTTCTTTTTTTACACAGACTTTTTTCTGTGTGTGTGTTTACTTTCTTCTCTTCTAGCAAGGAGAAAATGATACAATGCTCCTCGCAGAGTAGAATGAGTTGAGGAGGGTTCTACAGATAATGATCACTGTGACAGCCAATCACAGGTGATCATATGATTGGGAACCGGTCCTCCTGACTCCTGATCATTATTACAAGACTCACCGGTGACAGCTCTGTCTCTGTGCTATGGGCGCGCTATGTAGTGTGCTTCCAGCACAAAGATCAGTGTGCGTATATGCGTGTTTTTCCTCCGGCTACTCCGGTTTCCTCCCACACTCCAAAGACATGCTGGTACGTTATTGGGCTCCTGTCTAAATTGGTCCTTTTATGTATGCATGTGAGACCTTAGATTGTACACTTCTTGGGGGCAGGGACTGATGTGAATGAGTAGTATGTAAAGCGTTACATAAATGATGTATATAAATACCTGTAATAAATAAATAAATATGCGGCACCCTGGGAGAGCCCACTACCTTGACACTGCATATGTGTGCCACCTGGTTGTAAAGGACTTTAGAAGAAGAGTGCTGCCATCTTTCCAAGTATACATTTGAACAGATCATACATTAAATACTTCCACACTGGCCAGGAAGGAAACATGTAAGGTGGGAAGTAAATATAATATCATATTATATATAAAAAGTGTACAGGTGACATATATTAACATATACAAAATATTGATAAAGAATAAAATTCCTGAACTAGAGAACCCTTCATACCTTCCATGATAGATATGTGTACAGCTCTCCTGCGAGTCCGCGGAACGCTACTCAACCGCAGTCCAATCGAGGGACAACTGCGACTTGGCACCATTCCCGCCCTGGGACACAAATACATCTAGTTAGTACATGAAGCCAATACACAAGCATCACTTCTAACAACGTATCCATTTACCAGTATACTTGTATCCCATAGAGCCACCAAGCAGATTCAAACTTGCCACATTTTGTTGTGGAATATAACATGGGTGCAAAAAATGAAAAAAGGGCCTCAGTCATGAAGGGGTTAAACCCATTATGTTACTCAGCAATACACTTATCAGTACTGTGTCATACATAGGCTCCCCAGCCTAACAAAGCAGCAAAGTAGGCCCATGCTGGAAATCGGGCAACTACTGAGAGTATTTGTGGGCCTGTGTGAGCTTCAGAGGACTGCTCGGCCCTAGCCATGTATGAAATGATGATCCTACCAATGGGTGGCAGTGACTTTAATCCCTACACTTTTCTCAACGTTACATGCAGTAAAAACATAAACATAAACCTTTGGGGAGTTTGCAATACACAAGTAGACAGTGTAGGAGTAAATATTCAGAAACACTGACAATCCCCGTTTTACACATTAGAACTCTTAAAATAATGTGAAATATATACTGGAATTAGTATGGAAAGGTTAAGCTAACCTGTGTATCTCAGGTGGATCCCTCTTGATTTTTGCACTGGATTCCATCACTTCTTTGGCGACTCGTCCACTATTTCAAGGATAAATGTTTAAATAGTTTTTCCAACACAAGACTATTAGGAATTATGAGTAAAAATGTGGAAACATGGAGAAGAACTGCTCAGACGTGTTATGGGTTACATGCCCTTGGATAATACGACGCTGTCATCAGATTGATGGAAGTAAAAAAAAAAAAATACCAGACTACTATATAGTCTCCTATGACACAAGACACATCTGTGCCATGGCAATCTTTATGCTTTATGCTGTCACCAGCATCAATCCCTTCTTTACTACCGGTTGTTTAAATATATTTGCATGTTTTTATACCAGTCACTGCTGTACATTGTGGAAAGGGGAAAGTTCACATTGGAGACAGCCACATACAACACAGTGGACCATCCAGTAAATCCTTCAGGTGCAGCATAAGGGGCATATTGGTTACTGTTGTCTTTCTGTTCTGGGGTCCTGAGTTTGATTACAGGGGCCCTATCTGCACCAACAGACATATCCTCCCTGTGTAGCAGTGAAATAAACCAGGAAGCCTATTACAGTGCTGCATAACTTTCCCCTAGGTGATCCTATTTTATTGCACAGTCCGAAGAATGACTGGTTTCTGACACAATTTGGCTCTGCAGAGTGTTGGAAATATTACATTATAAGTTCCTTTGGGATGCTTCTACTGTTCACAATCTCCACTTACCTGTACCGGTAGCGACTTCCCTTGAAGAACAAATTACTACTGGAGACTGTACGGACTTGTTTGGAGTTCTCCAGTCTAAGAATAAAGTGATACAAATGAAATATTGAATGCAAAGCATAGGATACATGAAGCATCTTCACGGTAATATACAGATGAGTTAATAGGATACTGACTTGAAGAATGACTGGTTCTCAACGCCACATTTCCACAAGTGTTTGCAGGCCTCCGGAGTGGGAGCGATGAAGGTTAATACAAGACGTTTTTCCTATAAACAGAGAGATAAACTGAGCTTCCCACAGGTCAGATCCTATATCATTTTTATACCCATGTATTCCAAGGTCTGAGTGTATAATGAAGTGCTTTCAGATCATGCCATCACTACAAAGTATTGTGAGATACTTCTGGCATGGGAGTCCTAGAGTATCACAGCTCTCAAACTATCTTGCTTATATTATCATTGACCCATGTACATTATATATATCCTGACTGACTGGTATATATAAGGCCTATATGACTGATGAATACACACACACACACTCTGGGCTACATGTACATATAGAAGTTGTTACATCATCTTTGGACTTGTAAGTTCAATTCCCTCTCAATGAAACATAAAGACAAGAATTGTGAAACCTGGAGCACCGGTAAGGGGTACACTACTTTCCGCAAACCAAGAGTAGATACGACCTGATGTTATTCTGAATCAAATAAGCAGGTTGTCATTGTTAACTTCTCCTTCTACAAATGTGAGTTGCCTGGCTGCCATGGTGATCCTCTGAATTTAGTATTTTCTGAATCACTGACCTGCAACTTGCATGCACCCAAAATCAGAGCTCCTTAGTTGCATACTTGCTCCAGGAAGAGTGTAAGCCATTAGATCAGCATAAGAACCAGGCAACTGTGCATTTTCAGATGGAGATCAGCAATGGTAGCCTCCATGTTTCATGTGCCTATGAAGCTACAATGATGAATAACGGGCAGCAGCGCTGTGTCAGTTCCATTGCAGAGCTTGCAGGAATAGGTGTAAAGGCTTAGAGAACTTGCCGTTTCATTAAAATGGGAATTATAGGACCTGGAAGTAAAGTGTCACAATTATTATTTGCGTATTGTATTCTATGTACAAGGCAGGCTGTGAAGATAACAAAGCACATTAGACATCCTAGGAGAAATATTCATTTCATATTTGGTATCTAACAAATCATAATCTCATTCTGCTGAAGGTTATACTAAGAGCTCTCGTTTTATCATTTTTTAAACCATTGTCCTTTTCATAAAACAATATTTCAGATTGTTAAGCTACATCTCTGAATGCTCTAACTAGATATTATGAAACTCTGCCTGGCTGAAGAAGCTATCCTAGTGTAAACCCTGTTACATTTCTGTCTGGGTGTGGCAGCGAGTCATACAGACATTATTTCAAAGGTCAGAATTGCAACAGTGGATGCTGCAAATGATATGCGTTTCTCTCTAGGCCTCATTCACACTAGAAAAGGCCGTCACGTACAGCTCCGTGCTGCGTGCACGGCCGCATCGGGCAGTTCCCGGGAAGGACAGGTGCTGCGTGTGATTAGTACGCAGCCCCTGTTGTTCACTATGGGAGTATGCGGACATACGCCGCCCTACGCTTACCTGCCCTGCACGTCCATGCGGGTGCCTGTACTCTTACGCTGACAGGATGGATCCTGTCTGCGGCCGAGCCGGGAAACCCGCAGACGTACGGACCTGCACTTGGGGTGAGCGTAGGGGGGCGTACAGCCGCGTACTCCCATAGAGAAAGACAGGGGCTGCGTACTAATCACACACAGCACCTGTCCTTCCCGGGAGCTGCCCGATACGGCCGTGCACGCAGCACGGAGCTGTACGTGAATGGCTTTTCTCGTGTGAATGAGGCCTAAAACACGTGGTGAGGGCTATGTCACAGCCAGCCCCATATTTTTCTCATGGCACGTTTCCTTTAAGAATAACTCTGGGTAGAAATTGTATTAACCCTTGCAGTGGGTCTACCCCCGCACTGCAAGGGTTAACTGCTCACTTTTGCCTAGGGTAAAAAAAAAAGTTATACTCACCCGATCCTCCGAGCCAGCTGGCTCACAAACCAGTCCTTGGGGCATCTCTCACCCTCCACTACAGCAGTCTAGGAATCCTTGAGTCATCACATCCAATACAATATATAGGATGTGAGCACCCTGAGGGATATACCATCGCTGCAGCGGGGGAAGAGAGAGACTGGAAGGAGCTCTGCCGGCTCCAAAGATCGGGTGAGTATAACTTTTTTTTTTACCCTAGGCAAAACGGAGCACTTAACCCTTGGTATTTCCTCCATTAGTTGGTACAACGGCTGTGTCAGTGTATCAGAAGATCCTCTGACCAGGTCAGTACAACAGTTGGAGAGGCCGTGATTGGTTCACAAGACTTGGATTTGCAACCGACTGTCCCACCCACCACATACTTATATCAATGTCTAGTTTAGCAATACCCATTTCTGTGCATACCACTTGTTTTGTGTATATACACATCAGTCATTCAGAAGAGGTATATATAAATATGTAAGAAATGCCACTAGATGGTTTAAAAAAAAAAATCAGGCAATATAAAATTCCCAGTCAGTTAGTGTATATATATATATTTATAGATGTATATGAATATATTAGCTAGTCACCCTGTATATATACCAGTCCATATGTATACACCAGTCTGTCAGGGTATATATTGACATTTTACCTCCTTCTCTCTCACATATAAATGAAATGTTTTTCCTTCAAATTTCATTTTTGTGGCATCACTCCTGAAATAAAACAAAAATAAATAAAAATCACAAAGACTTTCACAGGGAGAGACAAATTGACAGGACAAGGTACAAACAAATGCATTGTGGGAACAATATAATGACAGTGGCCATACAGAGGGAGGATGGAAGGAGACTTTCACGGAGGAGCCACGTGATGAGGTGAATGATTGCGATAGGATGGATTTGGCCAAGTAACACGGGGATGTGAACACTACTGAGAGTCAAACTTGTGAGAGGAAAGCAATCTCCTTTCTTGTAAAACTTTCTACTTGTGGCAAAGAGAAATTCTGTCCTCGTTCACACGAGCACCGAACTTTACGCCCCTCTGAAAAAGGATTCACAGTGGATCACATTTAGGAGGGAGGTAGAGCAGGGGCTTCCAGGTGTTCAGGAGGCAATACTTATGGCATTTTTTTTCCAAGGGGGATTTTACATGGAACTACCGCAACGAAACCGGGCACCAAGCATTTGGCACGCGGTTGCGGCATGGTCCCATTGACACCAATGGTCGTGTTTGGCCTGCTGAAAGCTACATACTGTCTCATTTTTGACGCACCACCAAACAAAGCATCAGGGCCATGGCAATGTGTACAGGATTGTCCAGCTGCAGTGCTATCTTGTCAGCAGGCAGACGGGAAGCTGTGAAAACGCAGATCAACCTCCTGTTTTCACCGCACCTTGGCTGCCCGTGTGAATGAAGCCTTTGAATCCAATATAGAAACTGATCCTGTTACCTGTGAGCAGTGGGTGGTTTGCAATGACTGAATTCCATAAGAGGGATTAATGCTCTTGTGGGGGATTGATACTAAATTTGGGACATCATTACAAGTCATAGTGGTGTCGTTTAGCAGGTGGACTACGCTGAGTGTTGGGAACAAGTGTTTTAGTACTTGTTTTATGTTTCTTGGGGGAAGGCTGCACCCTCTTAACTGCTACATTGAGGATCCAGTACCTAAAGCTGGCCATACACCGCTCTGTTCTTTTCGTTCAATCCGCGGGCTGTACAAAAAAATAGAGCAGATTGCTCTTTCAACACTACGACCGTGCGGATTCAGGAATCCCCACTGCTTCTTATGTATTTCGACAGCGGCTGGCGGCTCATTGGTGACCCGAACAGAGCCGGCAGCTCATTGGCTAATGGCTCTGTTTGAACGAAGATTTTCCGAATGGCTCCTTCGATCAGCTGATTGAGGAATGCCGGCTGAAAGGAGGCCGACAGGGGCACACACTGTGCGAAGTTCCTCAAAAACCGTCTGAAATTCGCACAGTATATGTCCACCTTTAGTTAAAACATTTTGTTTTAAAAGGAGAGCGACAAATCTCTGCTACAAAGTCGCTAGTGTGACCAGGCCCTAAATGTACAGCTCAGTAATGCCTGTGAGCAACCCTGTGTATTTCTGAGAAAGCATGCCTATCAATGATTCTGACATGTTTTCATCTCCTTTCTTGACCCGTGGTCTGAACTCAGTCAACTGCACTGCCAGTTATGTTACCATCTAAGTGCTAGTACGCAGCCTGACAGTCAGAAAAGAACACAGAGTTTTTTCTCGTTCGTTCCCATCAGGTTCTGTTTAAAGAGGAACTTTATCCTTATCTTTGAAATGACAACAAACACACCTTTAGAAATGTTTAGTAATGACAATCTACAAACACATACTTCTAGATAATTGCTGGCTTTTTATTGTTTACAAGGCTTATTTTTCTTTTCCTCCCCATTCATCTCCCCGTGGCCATTTTTACTAAGGGCGGTTTAATATATCTCCCTGTACTTCCTGCAACTCTGGCACATGTGACTAGGACATGTGGCCATACACATCATCTCAGGGGAGGAAATTGCATTTCCCTGAGATCTCGTGAGATTACAGATGAGATTTCCCAGGATGCATCGCTTAGGCACTAATACCCAAGAGGACCAGGATGTGGAAAAACAGTAATTGTAAGTAAAAGCAAAATATGTTTGTTTGCTTAATGAATGTACAATGATTTCATAACAGCATGAAGAGCTGTATGCTGATGTGATTTTTAGTGAAAGGGGGTAAAGGTTCATTTTAAACCTCAAAGTTGTTCTAAGGAGTTTAACAATGGACACTTGATGTGTGCGCTCTAGGAGTGAAAGGAATGTTTTGTGCTGCCCAATCATATCTTGGGCTTTAGAGTCACTCTTATTTTACATTAACTAAAGTAGGAATCGGACTCGTTACTTTAGGTAACGGGAATTTTTTAATTCTTCCACTTTTATAAGATACCCATGACATAGAAGACAGTATTGATACTAAATCCAGACGCAGGACATGAACAGAACCAGTACCACAGTGGGGAGAGATACAGAAGGAGACATTTAGGACTGAGAAGAGACTGTAGAAGTACAGATAATACACACAGCAGGAGGACATACACCCTGCAGCAGAGGCCGCCACACAAGACTAAACCTGTCCCTGCTTGGCATCCATCAGCTGCTTTGTGCAAATATTAGATGTGAAAGCTATGTTTTGCTGTATTACACTTACTATGTAACTGTGCCAGCTTGTTTGCTATTGTTTTTAGATCTATAGCATTTTAGGAGCCACTGCAGGTAACAAGTGGCTAATGCTATCCAAGAAGCACCACAGCCGTGGCAAAGTCAGAATTTCAGCTATTGAGGTTAATAGGAAGGCACGTTTTTGTTTCAAGGTAATATATGCCCTAAATCTGGCTTTATGTGTGTATGTGTGTACCCATTGTAGTTTGTGTCTGTCAATAGTGGAGTTTGGGTGTGCTGGTTACTGTGTTCAAAAGGAAAAGGAGCTTTAGAGTGAGAGCTAATGAGAAGGAGGATAAGTCTGGGTATACTGATTCAAGTGCGAAAAAGATGAAGGAGCTAAATTTACAATGTGGGCACATGAGAGGGGTGTACCAAGTGCATGGTTATATGACAGGCGCACAGAGGGAAAAAATAGGAACAGACGATCACTGGCAATAAAGTTTCAGAACAGGAAAGAGACAGAGAACATTGTTTAAAGATGTGCAAATTTCTATCAAAAAGGACAAATGGCTCCGTGTTTGGAAACATGTCTGTAGCCAGTCAAATATTGGCAGTCTGGCAAGTGCCTAACTGGAGCTGGAGTGAATTCCACAATATGGACCTATTTGTCCAAACAGCTTTCACATCAATCTGAAGAGCACAAACAGTATGCTGCAAAGGAGGCAGGTAGGGAAGTTAAGAACTGTCCTTGCCCTTTTCCTTTTGTGAAGGTTTTAGGGCATTTTAAAAGGGTGATATTTACCTGCCTCATGTACAAATGGAGCTGACATCACATACCACTTAAGCCATGCTCCATATTGTGAAACTTCACTTCCTTAGTACACAGCTTGCAGTCTGGAGGTGAGGTTATAGAAGAATTCAACTAATTATTTTAAGTGATATATGGCAGCTGAATCTGTCACAGTCAACTTTCTTCACAGGACCAGCACATGTCCTCAACATAACTCTTTCAAAAGACACTAAAACCCTTATCACTGGAAAGTACAAGTACAGTATCTGCCTCTTCCTCCCCTTCTCCTTTACAGAGTGCAGTACCTATGCTCTTTAAAGTGAACCTGTCCTCCACTCTCAATCTCAAACTAAAGGTGTAGCCCAGCTAACAACACAAGATGGTGGCAGCTGTCCAGAAAAGCCTTTTAGTGTCCCGTTTGAGATTCATATCAATTTCCTGTAGAGACTGAGCTTCCCCTCATGGGCCTTAGCCCAACCCACCTGGCACCTGTTCCATGAAGGTGCCTTGCCTACCAAAAGTGGCCTCTTATTTGGATAGGGGCCAACTGTTGGTCTGGGGCATAGTTCAATAAATAGGCAGGGCTAACGTGCTAAGTAGAGGGACGTTCAGTTTCTACTGCAAGCTGAAAACACTGAGGCTTTTCTGGACAGAAGGTATTAGCAGGCATCTTATGGTGACTGCGTTTATGCAGCACCTTTATTTTCATATGGCCAGTGAGAAGAACAAGTTTACAGAATCCCTAATATTTAAAAAGACAGGGACCAGAAAAAAGGATAACGATGGGGCGGGCAGTGCAGATCAAGACTCACCATTTTATAAAGTGAACCCTCTTATTCCCCTGCAACACGATAAAGCCGAAAGGAGTAAAGGCCAAAAATGCAGAATTCCCAGAGACATCCTGAAAGACAGTGATACAGGACATAGGAAGGAAAGAGAAAGAAAGGAGAGAAGGAATGCAAAGGCTGAGAGAATTATGGTTAGATATGATTCAGAAAATTGCGGTACCTTACAAGGATGAGGATCTACTCCATATGTCTCCAGGGTTTGAGCCTTCCTCAGAAAACACAATTCTGCTCCAGCAGGGGACAAGCCACTAAAATACATGACAAAGGACACATTGATAAAGTACTGCATGGAAAATGGCTTCATGTATGGAAAGTATTCATATTCCCCTTAGCAGAAGATCAGGTTCTTTCCTTCATTATCAAGTCTCATTTTCAATCTGGTTTAAGTGTTATTGGACGATATGGGCAACAAGAACACTTTCCTTTAAAACATATTTTATATGTCAATCCCCACCAAAAAATAAAGTTGACAAATAATGAAAGCATGTCAAAGTGTCAGGTAGGATTGATTATAGAAAACACAGCCAAAGTTTATGCTATAAGGATGATTTTACTTCTGAGAAATGAATTCTCTTATTGGCAGTCACATCATTTGCAGCACATGAAAGAGAACCCCTCACAAAAGAAACGTTTATAATTATCTGAATCTTAAAGCGACACTAAACTCAGAAGTTAAATCTTAAAAATACATTCAAGTACCTTAACTATGAACAGAAATGTATGTTATTTGTGTATCACTCGGCTGTATTCCCAAATCATCTCTGAATTGGTGCTGACACTGTCCTTCCTTCTGGAGGGTGGCTATTTTTTGTTCCCCATGGTCCCTGTGTGTGTTGTAAAGTAGTCACCGCTCCAAGCACACTCCCATGATGGACTACAATCTCACATTTAGTTTCCTAATATTGAGACTATAGTCCATCACAGGAGTGAGCTTGGAGCGTTGACTACTTTACAACACACAAAGGGACCATGGGGAACAAAAGTAGTCACCCTCCAGAAGGAAGGACAGTGTCAGCACCAATTCAGAGATGATTTGAGGATCTACAGCCGAGTGATACACAAATAAGATACATTTATGTTAACAGTTAAGCTACTTGAATTTATTTTGAAGATTTACCTCCTGAGTTTAGTGTCACTTTTAAATTGCATTAAGAGTGTAGCCTTACTGGTCGTGGATTCCCGGATCTTGTCCTTGAATTATTATTCATATTTCACAGGTATTAATGGGGCACAATGTCAAAGTTAGCAAATCACATCAACATTTTAAAGGAGAACTATGAGGTGAGTGCTTTTCACTCACCTCATAGTTCTAGCCGACCTGTGACAATGAGACTGTCACAGGTCGGCTCAGTAGATCGGGAGGTGAGCGAACACATACCGGCGTTCGCTCACCTCTCGATCCTGTCACAGCTCTCTGCTGTGACAGGGGAGGGGCTGAAATCCGCCCTCCCAGCTCCGATCCGCCAGTGCTGACTGGCGGATCGGACGGGGGAGGGGCGGGTACAGCTGGCTATGCCTCTAGATAGGCAGAGCCAGCTGTCACTCACGCAGCTGGGCGGATCCCGGCATAATTGTTGGGATCCGCTTCAGCTGCGGCGTCTCAGTATACCGCGAGCAGAAGCTCGCGGTATACTGCGGCGGTCTAAGTATATGGTGAGCTGCAGCTCGCGGTATACTGAGCTTAGGGTGACGGGAGGACGCTAGTTTTGGGGGGGGGGGGGGGGGGGGGACGGGGGAGGGGCGGGTACAGCTGGCTATGCCTCTAGATAGGCAGAGCCAGCTGTCACTCACGCAGCTGGGCGGATCCCGGCATAATTGTTGGGATCCGCTTCAGCTGCGGCGTCTCAGTATACCGCGAGCAGAAGCTCGCGGTATACTGCGGCGGTCTAAGTATATGGTGAGCTGCAGCTCGCGGTATACTGAGCTTAGGGTGACGGGAGGACGCTAGTTTGTGTCCTCCCGTTACCCTAAGGAGAACTATGGGCAAAAGCCTTAACACCATAGTTCTCCTTTAAGCAAACGTAATGTGCACTCATGTAACCATTGGAAAAGCAAACTGCTCCAAGTAGACAGCCCCATTATAAGGGTCTGCCTGACCTGGTTAACAATGTAGATAAGCATTTTTGTTCCAGGTCAGTGATGTCCGCAGTCTTCCACGATGAATGACAACCAATATCACTGAACCTAGAAGACTAGGCACATACTGTGAGTGCAGGGTGTCACTCGGGATCCTTCATTCACAGTGTAAGGGCGTACTGTCAGCACTGCTTTTTGCATCAGTAAGGACCGCCCAGCCCTCAGAAGAAGCAAAGAGGAAGAGGACCCTGTATCATCACATAATTGGCCTAAAAAGACTTCAGAAAAGGTGATTTAAGCATAAAATACTGTCAGTAGATGTCACAAGGGGGGCGGATCTGCGGGGAGCTTGGAGCCCAGGGTTCGACTTTAAGATGTCAGTTACATGGAGCACGTTCCTTACCTAAGCTCGTGCCTGTGAATCTCAGAAATCCGTCGCTCCAGCTTCTCTGAGTGTTTAGGGAGGAACTGGAACTTGGAACTATATCCCTCTGGGTGTTTTCCAGGATCATAATCGCCAATTTCAGCTGCAGGAGAGACACAGTTGGGTTTAGGATTAAATAATATATAAAGGAAGCTTTGTGGCAGATCAATTATTTGACCAAGTTGGAGAAAACTTGAAGGTAAGACTGCTGCACCAGAGCACCACATAAAACTATCACTGCCAGCGGTGCACACTGGGACCACTCTGTTGCTGGAAAGGGCACATAACATTTTGTTTTTTCCAGCTTGGCAGTAGATGCAACCATTCATGCAGCACATAATAATAGGTGGGTCTATGTTACAGAGTTATTACCTGAGGCTTTGCTACAACTTTTTAGGAAAGGCCTCTGACAGAGCTGACAGTTAAAGGCTGTCTTCCAGTTTTTAGTTAATATCTGCAAAATATTTATAAAGTTTGAACTTTTTCGCAAGGTTGGTGGCGTTTCCGTACGTCAAAATTTGTACGATCTACACTGCACATGCGCAGACGAAAATACGTGCGGTCGATTACCGCAATTCGTCCAGGTGCTTTTTTCTAATTACCGCTGATCCAACCTTGCGATAATCGGGGCAGGATGGGGCCGCCGTACGAAAAGTGTCGTCCGATGATCGCAAGGTGTATGGGCAGCCTAATAGAGAGTCCTCCATCCACACCGTTTAGCATGAATAGGGCAACGTATTTAATTTTCTCTTGGTCAGCCTCTGGGCTGAAGCATAGAAAATCTACCAATGTATAACTAGCTTTAGGCTGGGAGAGGGAGGGGCAGGGTTCTGAGCCAATTAGGACTTTAATGCTGTGCACAGTGCTTTCAGTCTAACATTGTAACATGCCTACAGGGGGAAAGAGCACAGGGATGAGCTCCTCAATGAGCTGCTATTCATTCATTTACTAGTAGATAGCACAGGAAGAAGCAGGATGGCAATGGTTTAGAGGTAAAATAGACAGCAGCATTAGTGCATGAGGCTGGAGGGACACGGTAAATCATCAATATTGAGCCAATGACCGTCTGTCATCAGTACATACCTTGTAATATGTATGCTGCCAGCAAAGCTGCATCGGATGTCTTACAGAGTAATCGTCCATGGTACAAATCTCTCTTCACTTGAAGAAACACTAAATACCTGTGTGAGAGACAGATATTCATGTCATTATCCAATCAGTAGGCAGGGAAATGACACCACTATATTCTTTAAAGTGATATTAAAGTCAAAAGGTTTTTGAGCGATTTCAAATGCTGATGAAATCACTTACAATGGATGCTGCTCCTTGATGTTTAAAAGTTATAGTTTCCTGCAGAATCAGCTGGTCCCCTGAGCACTGGCCCTGATATCCTGTTTTAAGGCGGCTGCTTTCCCTTGCAGGGTCCTATGGAGCCACCCATGTGTGTGCTAGTAAGCTGTGTGTCCCCACAATCACAGGCATAGCAGGACAACCCACTCCCCTCCTTTCTGCTCCCTCCTCCATTCTTCATGCTAGCTGCTGTAGACTGCACTATACTTTGTGATCCTGTACTGGACAGAATGTTCAGGGAAGTGTAGCTGGAAGAGTTGGAGCTGCTCAGAAATATGATGACTGTATGTGCTTGGGCAAAATCTAAATAAATACTTTGCTGGGCAATGTATATTAGTTTGATCTGGATTCATTATTGAGAAAAAAAATTGAGAGTTTAATAGTATTTTAACTTTATCATAGAAAGTGGAGTCACCCACCGGGCTATGCTGTCTGGCAGAGGTGTAAGAATGACAAGACTGGGTGAAGAGAATCACAAACCCCTTGGAGAATAATAGTTTTGGAGTTCAGCTTTAATTGTTGTGGGTCGCAGCACACAAGACTGTGTTAGGTTTATAACACTTATCAGTAGAAGGACGATTGCACTTATGAGCTGAGCAGTCAATGCAAGCTTTTAAACGGTCCTCAGGGAATGTAACATTTGTATAAATACAGCAGTACAATTTAGACAGAGTTCAGTCTCTGGTTAGAGATGACATCATCTGGCAGACAGATAGTGACAATCCAGAGTGTAATAAAACACCATCATAATGAGGAAAGGATTTGTTGGTCAGTGAGATACAAGATGGATAGATTAAGACACGGATGAATTAATACCTGGCAGGCACTCAAGCCACAGTTTTCGGCTGAGACTGCAACCGGGGCAGAAGGAAATTACATAAGGGCAACTTATTGTAGGTGATCTAAAGTGTTTTCTAAAGCAAAGTGACTGTGATATTCATATCAACCAGAGGCTCATATTCATTTCTACCCTCCAAAGAAAACCATTAACTGTAATTAGATTGCCGTCTTCCCTTTCAGATATCTTTTATAGTGTTCCCCGCTGTAAGAACTTGGACTTTGCATTACTGCACTGGTTTGTCTTCTTCTGTATCAACAGAAGAAGGTCCCCACCTCTTCTTCTGTATCAACATTATTTTTATTATAAAACGATTGAAATACCTAGAACTTATTAGGCTTTGTTTTTCTTTAAATTAAAGTGACACCCAACCACAGGAGTTAAACCTTAAAGGGTTATTAAACCCTCATTTGTTTTTGCATATATCTACTGCTAGCAAGTGGTAGATATATGCAAAATTATTTTAAAAAAACACCTCTTTTTTTAAAGGGTTAATACTTACCTTGTTTCTCTTTCCTTTTTTCCACCTGTAAATCCAGCCAGTAAGTCTGTTATTTTTCTACTTCTTTTAACAGGCCAAGCTGTCCAGTCTACGTGGCAGATAGAGGCTTGAAACAAACCATTTAACGCTGACAAGGGGCCTTACGATGGTCAGCTTTTGTTAATTTACGTAAAACCCTTATCCCAAAAGCAAAAAAATTAAAATTTCTGTAACTGCTTAAATAGTGTTAGCTAGAGTTCATCTTCATGTGTTAGTGAAGTCTATCTACAGCTGTCGGTACAGCTAAGGCCTCCTTCACACCAGACAGTGCGTTCCGGCCCGATTCTGGCCAGAACGCACTGCATCGCATTGCGGCCAGCTCACTATGTTGTGGGGCAGGAGGGGGCGTGACGGTCCATTGTGAATGGTACCATAGCCACGCCCTCTGGTTGCAATTCTAGATAGGCAGAGCCAGCTGTCACTCACGCAGCTGGGCGGATCTCGACATCGATGTCGGGATCCACTCCGGCTGCGGCGTCTCAGTAGCTCAGTCGCTGTAGCTCGCGGTATACTGAGCTTAGGGTGACGGGAGAAAGCTAGTTTGTGTCCTCCCGTTACCCTAAGGAGAACTATGGGGAAAAGCCCTGACCCCATAGTTCTCCTTTAAGAACAAACCTACAGACCCTATCTTGTTCGTAACCAGTGGACTGCCTGTACTGTATATATCATAGCTTAGCCTACCTTAAACTTGGCTGAAGCACTTACATTAACCTACAGATGGATAAAAGCTTACTGTATTTGATAATAAAGTGTTGAACATTTCATGTATATACAACTCCTCTGTTTATGATACGATCACTTTACGATCCGTTTATCGGAACATAACCCCATTGTATACCGAGGAGTGTATGTAAATCCATTCAAGTACCTTAACTATTAACAATAATGTATCTTATTTGTGTATAACTCGGCTGTAGAGCCTCAAATCATCTGAGTTGGTGCTGACACTGTCCTTCCTTCTGGAGGGTGACTACTTTTGTTCCCCATGGTCCCTGTGTGTGTTGTAAAGTAGTCACCTCTCCAAGCTCACTCCTGTGATAAACTGCAATCTCAAAACAAATTAGTAAACTAAACATGAGACTATAGTCCATCACAGGAAGTGAGATTTGAGCGGTGGATACTTTACAAAATACACAGGGACCATGGGGAACAAAAGTAGACACCCTCCAGAAGGAAGGCGCTGCCCTTTGTAGTTTCCCTGTCACTTCAAACTATCTTCGAACATGTCTGGTTGCTCCACTGAGGAACCCTGTACTAATTTGTGTCAGATCATGGCCCATACACAATATACAGGCATGTCTAAGAACATTACCAAGTAAAAGAGCATTATCATAGTATTCTGCCATGAGCATTTTACATAGCCCTACAGACTGCAATCAGTGGAAGAAATACAATAAAAAGTAAGTCGTTTACGTAAACCATTAAGTCTGGAAAAATATTTTTAGTTCATACTGTTGGCGATATATAGAACACCTGTATAATGATCATAACAATAATAATAATAATTGTTTTTGCAGTCCTGTAACCATATACATTCCCAACAGTCCCATACACATAAAGAGATAGTGCTCACAGGCCCTGATAGCAGGAAATATTTATGTATATCTATTGTCTTTGTTCAGGGGAGCACAGTCCTTGTTTTTCCCAGCAATGCCTATACAAGTGATTGTGCTGTGACTACATAGCACTTACCGGGTGATTTCTTCTTTTAAAGCTGCTGGGTCTGGAGGATAGAACTTTACTCGAAAGCACATGATAAATGGAGAGCGAGCTGGACAAGAGAAGATTGAAAGTTCAATACATTGCAACCTACTTGAACAAAACAAGTATCTCTGCTATCGGCTGCTTTTAAACATTATAATGAACATAGAATCAGGTAAAACATTTTTATGTTAAAGGCATAGTACAACAAAAAAATAATAAATGCACACACATTAATAAAGAAACATTTTTTTAATTCATTTTCATGCATTTATTTATTTATTTTGCATTTCAGGCTGCAAAGCATTGCAACCACAATCAGGGGATCGTTCTCAAATTTGGCCTGTCAATGGCCACTGTTTGTCTTCCGTTGGATTAAAAGAAAAGTGACTTCTGACACAGATCCAAGTGTAGTCCAGAGTTTCATAAGTCTCTCTCAATAGATGGCAAAATCAAACTAATTATATTAAATCACTTTTTTAAATCAGTTAAAATGGTATATTTTTGTTGTATTTTATTCTAATTTTATATATATGCTACTGCCTATGGGCTCTATTAAAATGACACTAAACTCATGAGTTAAATCTTAAAAATGCATTAAGGTAACAATGAAGCACATAACCTTAACTATTATCAAAATGTATCCTATTTGTGTGTCACTCGGCTGTAGATCTGCAAATCATCTCTGAATTGGAGGGGGGCTACTTTTGTTCCCTATGGTCCCTGCGTGTGTTGTACTACATTCCCAATACCAATTAGTAATAACAATGGTAAACATGGCCCTGTCCCAACTTTTCTGAGACGTGTTGCTGCCATCAATTTCAAAATTACATAATTTTTTCTTAAAATGGTACATTTTGCCAGTTTAATCTTTTGATATATTTTCTATTTTCTACTGTGAATAAAATGGGTTTATGGGTTTATTAGATTTACAAATAATTGCATTCTGTTTTTATGTAGATTTTTTACAATGTCCCAACTTTTTTGGAATTGGGGTTGTAGTAGAATACGGGAGTAAGCTTGGAGCAGTCACTACTTTACAACACACATAAGGGACCATGAGAAACAAAAAGTAGCCCCCCTCCAGAAGGAAGGACAATGTCAGCACCAATTCAGAGATGATTTGAGGATCTACAGCCGATTGATACACAAATAAGATACATTTTTGTTAATAGTTAAGGTACTTGAATGTATTTTTAGGATTTAACTCCTGAGGTTAGTGTCACTTTAAGCTGCCCACAGGCGTTAGAAGAGATATGATCCAGCAAGTTTCCTGGGATAAGAAATTGCTGCCTATTCGAGTCATGCAGAAGAGTCCGGTAGGAATGTCTGATTGTTCCTCAGGTACTGCAGACATGAAGGCTCTTTACAGTAATGCAAACTCGCTGTCGGACTTAAATAACACTTTTACCTTTTACACATGACATCTTTTAAGTTTGTAGTAACTTTGAATAACAATAGAAAATATATTTATTTAGCAATAGGTCTTCTTCTAGCTTTTCTGTTTTACCCAACAGCATCAGGACTAGATGGAAATTCGGTATGTGGCATTTTAAGAATGATAGTGTGACCCTGTTTGATGGCTGTTTAATAACACCAAACAGTTTCTGCTTATGATAAACTAATCCGTCAGTGTGGGAATAACTTACATCTCATTTGTTTGGCGATCCCTTTTGTAAACTCCAACCAGTGCTAAAAAAAAAATCAATACAATATGATGTTAAAAAACAAACAATGCCAGGACATTACAGACTTTTGTACTGGCACATCACAATTATTTTAACATATAATTAGCATGTTAGAAACTGAATTATAGTGCAAATTCCATACCATTTCACTATATCCTATATCTACAAGATAGAGCTCAATAACAATGAAGCACATCCATTTACAGTGTGCGCCGGTGGACTAAACTGTAATCTTATTATCTTGTTTTTTAATTCAAGTTCAGAAAAATCAGAAAACCCGCTAAACTCTACAACTCTGGTGCCCCCTACCGGCTGTAGTGTGGAAATAATGATCACAGCTCGGACATGGCAGCTGCAATTTCCAAAATAGATTACTGACTACCTTCTAATGGAAGTAACAGGACTGCATTTAAAGTGGCAGATGTGCTATGATTGTATTTGTGTTAACTGTATATTGGTTAAACGGGCCTATTTATTTTATATTTATTGTACTCTTTAATATAATGAAGATCTCTAGAAATGCATCTTCCCAATTCATAAAAAGGAAAAAGAATTTCAATAAAGAGATAATATCCTGCTGTGCCTCATTTCCTACAATCACATCAGAATGCAGAGTATGCATTCATTTACATATGTACCAATCAATGTGCTATAATAAGCATCAACAGTTTGTATAGAAGTCACCAAGGTACAGACATGGACGGGAGGAAGAGTAGAGTCTGCAGGAGCCAGAGCATTGCACCCATGACACACTGATCGCGGTTGCAGTGCTTTACTGGCTCCGATGCAAAAAGAAATAATAAATGCACATGTTTTATTTTATGAAGAAAGGATACATTTATAATTTTTTTCAGAAAGGTGGAATTTCCCTTTAACTACACATGAACACCTTCATATATGACCATCGTTTCTGTTACAGATTTAATTCCTTCCTAACAAGTTGGCACTTTGCTTTGGTCTCCTGTCTGCAACATCAGCTGTAACTAGAGACATGAATGTGTAATGCAGATACGTCCTGGTGGAAGTTCCCAGTGACCTGGTGACACAGAGACTATACACCAGCATTGTGACACAGAAATTATGTGAAAGCTCGGGACAATTATCTTCTAATCACAATTGTAGAAAAGGATTGAAAACTCTTAGCACAATTTTACATGTTTTGGGGTCCTGGGTTTCATCACAGCCAGGTAGTTTGAATGTACTTCCATTGTTCCTGAGCTTCTGTTCCCTCACATTCACTTAATGTGGAGGGGGCGGGTACAGCTGGCTCTGCCTCTAGATAGGCAGGGCCAGCTGTCACTCACGCAGCTGGGCGGATCCCGTCATCTACATCAGGATCTGCTCCAGGTGCGGCGTCTCAGTATACTGAGCTTAGGGTAACGGGAGGACGCTAGTTTGTGTCCTCCCGTTACCCTGAGAACTATGGGGAAAAACACTGACCCCATAGTTCTCCTTTAAAGTAGGACTGAAACCAAAACGTTTTTTTTGTTTTGGATAGAGTAGGGGAGGGTTATATCCCCGTCAGCTTTTTTTCCCTGTCATCTGTGTCCCATTGGGAAGATTTCACTTCAAATCCTGTCGGATAGCCACAACAGGAAGTGAGATGAAATCTCTCAAAGAGAGGGAAATCCCTGGTGTCCCAACCAGTTCTGGTGACAACCTAATCTTTAGGCTTTTCTTTCACTTTACAGTCACCAGGACATATATAGATGGTGATTCTCCCTAGCGGGGACACAGACAGCAATAAGATCCTGACAGGGGTTCTAATCTCTACCCAAAATTTTAAAAAAAGGTTTTGGCTTCAGTTGCACTTTTACCACTTTATTACTGATGTACATAAATAAAAGTCCTACCTAAACCAAAATCTTGGCATTGTTTTATACAGCCGGCACCCCAGCTTTCACATACAAGTGCACTGTTTTCATTTCCATACAAGTGACCAGGCAGCTCTACACCCACCCCATCACCTGTATGCAAATGCAAAAGGTAATGCTTCATCAACTTCAGGGGGATCCATAGGTGACATTAGGGGTCTGATAGACCCCTGATTTCTCCATAAAGAGGACCTGTCACTTGCTCAGTGCTATTAGCCCCCTATGTGACAGCAAAAAAGTTAAGTATAAAAATGTAAAAAAAAGTTTACCTATAAAAACAAAAAAAATGCTTCCCCCGGCTCCGCTGCCCCTCCTGTGGGCCCGGAATCGGCATTATGGGTGTCAGTGGGTAGTAGGAAGAGAGACCAGCAAATGTCAGTTCGCCGAACTCCTCCTCACTGAATGGAGTCAGAAGCGACGCTGATTGCATCACTTTCGGCTCCTCAGATGTCATTCTCTGGCTAGAGAAGTTTGGGAAGAATATATTCAAGCACAATCTGTGTCACCTATGGACAATTTAGGATACTGTATTTTTCCGCCGTTTCATGGACGCAAACAAGTTTTAAGCTTTGCGTGTTGGGTATTTATTTACTCGGCACAACCTTATTTTTTATATTTTACAAAAAAAGGTGTATTATATTGTGTTCTTTGCACTAAAATTACCTTACGTGTATTTTTTACTGAAATGTCGGGCCTGATAAAGAGTTGTGCTAGGGGATAGGGTTTAAGTAATTTTCAGTTCTAAAATGTGGACTATAACACGTGTGCAAAATACACTCTGGCAGCGAAAGTGTATAAGCCCTCCAACTCCATCTACATGCACATGCACATTCAATCGCACATATGCGTCGGGTGCGCCTACCTGTAAAAACTATTGCGCCACACATGTGACATATCAATGCGAACGACGGAATGAGAGCAATCATTCTGGGGCCATCACTCACTGTTAACTCTAAATTAATGAGCAGTAAAGGCATTTAAAGTGTCACCTATAGGCAATTTGAGGTGCTGTTGCTTTTTTTGCTATTACACAGGCTCACACAATTTTAAGGTTTGACATGTTTGATATCTATTCACCCAATGCAACCCCATCTTTTATATTTAACCCAAAACATTGTATTATATTATGTTTGTGTGTAATACAATTCATATTAATGTACTTTTTCCTGAAAAATATAAAGTTACTAAAGATTTATTCTGCTTTTTAAAAAAATTAATTGTTTCAGCAAGGAGCTGATCTCCCTTCCTCTTCCTCCTGACGCCCTCTCGACCCGATCCCGGGCCGCAGATGGGGCAGCGGATCCCGGGATTGAAGGTGAGGGGTCAGGAGGGGGGGCAAAAAACTGGCGCCGGCCCGCAGACGGGGGGCGGCCGAAAAAACGAGCACATATAGACGATCGGCAGGCTATAGAGCCGCCGATAGTCTTTATGTGAAACACCTGGTAATGGGTGTTTGCATTGGTCGGGTCTTTTCTGCCCGTGCGCACCCGCAAGCAGAAAACAAATGCCGTCTGGAAACGACAACCCGCCAATGCTGCAGTGCTGTCCGTTTTTTTACAATGGGCGGACGGCAACTGGTTACAGTAGTTTTCCAGCCAAAAATTTTAATGTTAACGTGTGCAAAAATAAAAAACCGTCTGTCAGGGAAGTAATTAAGTATGTGTGTATTATTACGGGACTGTTAGTGTCCCCCCCCCCCCATTGCTGGGGATAGTCTGAATGGCTTTTTTTTCTCAGCAGCTTGTTGTAGAACATGTGGACATTGTATCAATGAATGAAGTGTAGTCACACTGTGACAGGTGGCGTCACACTCACCCTCTGCTTGTCAGGATCTACATAGCGGATTCCAAAGTAATCTTTCTCCAACAGATTCAGATGGTGGCACAAGAGGTCGAACAGGTGCTGGCCTTTTGCATCTCTCTGTAAAACAAGAAATAAGAAGACAACATGATTAGAGAACAGAAAAGACCATACTGAAGAGGACAATTTATAAAAACAATAGGATAAATTAAGTTGTTTTTAAAGAAAAACAGTAAATCTACACATGAGGTAATTATGTCATATGTGACACATGTGAGGTAATACTGTCATATACAGTATGCAACATTTGTAAGGTAATAATCTAATATACAGTATGCAACATGTGTGAGGTAATAATGTCATATATGTGACACTTGTGAGGTAATAATGAAATATACATGATACAGGTGGCAAGTATGAAGTAATAATGTCATATAGGTGACACGTGAGGTAATAATGATATATTATCTAATAGAGGGAGACTCCCTGAACATCAGGGAGACTTGAGATCCCTGCATATGATGATGTAACAGGTGGATAAATGAAATGGTTTATATAAAAATAGGGAATCTACACGTGTGAGGTAATAATATCATATAGGAGACACATATGAGAAAATAATGTCACAGATGTGACACATTTGAGGTAATAATCAGATACACATGATACAAGTGACACGTGTGAAGTAATAATGTTAAATGTGACATGTGTGAGGTAATAATTAAATATATATGATATACCGTGTATGTGACACGCGTGAGGTAATTCAGCAGTTGAGGTGTATGTATAGGGATGAATAGGGAAAACCTTTTCCAATATTAAACTGAGCAGGGAAGAGTTAATACCTGTCAGGACTGAATCCATGTGAACAAGAGAACAAAAAATGAGACCTACTTCACGCCGCAACACAAATCAAGTGAAAATACACCTCTATATCACACTATGCCAGTACCATAGACCGTGCAAAAACAACACACGGTGACTAATAACTAGAAAATTGGATGGCACTGCTTGGACATGTGTGTAAATAATCATATAAAATCTATTTTAAAAAATGTATTCATACCATATTAAACAATTAAAAGCTTACTGTATATTCCTAGGGCCCTGATATGATAAGAATAAAATTGGTTTATTATATATCTTATTATATGATTACTTACATGTATACAAGCAGTGAGGTCCAGTTTTATAAGTACTGGTTCCCTTGTGTTAAGGAATATATTCCTGGCACCGCTCCATACAAAACTAAAATAAAGTTTTGGCTACACAGTCCCTGATGCCCAACACGTGACCCGCTGGCTCTCTGTGTGCGGCCCGCCATGTCCTGGGTCTGCCGGCTGGACTATGTGTACAGCCCAGGGTGTCCTAAGATGTGTCTACCATCGGGGCTCTCTGTGAGGCCCGCTGTTTCCTGGGCTGGGTCTGCAATCTAGGTTCTGTGTGCGGCCCGCTGTGTCCTGGGCTGGGTCTGCACTCTGGGCTCTGTGTGCAGCCCGCTGTGTCCTGGGCTGGGTCTGCACACTGTGTGCATCCCGCTGTACCCTGGGCTGGGTCTGCACTCTGGGCTCTGTGTGCAGCCCGCTGTGTCCTGGGCTGGGTCTGCACTCTGGGTACTGTGTGCAGCCCGCTGTGTCCTGGGCTGGGTCTGCACTCTGGGCTCTGTGTGCAGCTCATTGTGTCCTGGGCTGGGTCTGCACTCTGTGTGCATCCTGCTGTACCCTGGGCTGGGTCTGCACTCAGGGCTCTGTGTGCGGCCCGCTGTACCCTGGGCTGGGTCTGCACTCTGGGCTCTGTGTGCGGCCCCTTGTGTCCTGGGCTGGATTCACAATCTAGACTCTGTGGGGCTCGCTGTTTCCTGGGCTGGGTCTGCACTCTGGACTCTGAATGCAGCCCACCATGTCCTGGGCTGGGTCTGCCATCTGGACTCTGTGTCCGGCCTGCCATGCCCTGTCATTTAGACTAGGTGTGTGGCCTCCAAACTAGTAATGTGGCATTATGCTGGGATATTGGTCCCAGCAGGATGGTTCCAAGTACTGAATGCAAACCCTATGACACAGCATACTGTATGTCTTCATGTGATGTCCCAAATGTGCTGATGCATTACACTGGTTACCAATATCCCAATTTTTTTCCATGGAAAATCCTTTCACACATGGCAACTGTAAAGGTTTTGAACTGTGTACATAAAGGATGCGCACAATTATAGCAAGATAGGATCATATGAGGCATAAAATTGACATCGACTTTAAAATTGTTGTCTAGAATTCTGATGCCAAGAATAATTTCAAATAAAAACGTCCTGTCATTTACATGCCACTCAGCATCACACTGATCTTTATCACATATAGATCTTGTTTTTGGTTCAGCAAACATCTTCCCAGCAGCCCAAATTCTCCCTTGGGGCCCATCAGAACAAGCTCCACTGGAGCTGAGGTTATCTCTTCCTCAGAGGGTATCAGATAAGCGATGGCAAATCCTGGATCCATGGTATTAAAGTTTATAGCAAAGTACTTTACCACTAAAATGGATGTTAAGATGCTTCAAAAACTCTATTAGGGGGTTAAAGTTGTACTAGCAATGGCACAATCTCCTGTTTTTACTGCTACCAGCAAAAAATAAAGCCGTTGTTGGAAGAGCCTATATACGTATCTGATAAGTCAGGTGCATCAAATATCTGCTGGCAAACAACTTTCCGAGACATATGGCTTAAATGAACATCCTCACCCAAAATGCCTACTGCATCAGTCACAGAGGATTTCAGAGCAAAGAGATAAAAATAGTAAATACCTTGTGTGCTTAGCTAAGGAATAACCGCTGATTACTAAAAATGCTCTAATAGCACAAGAGACCGCTTCAGCATCCAACCTTTCTGAACTATAGAGAATTGATATTCATCCAAACTATCATATGCTGCACATCATAACTGTTACATTATTTTTTAATATAAATTTATATTTAATTTTGAAAATGTCTTTACATTCATTTTTAGATGATGTTCTGCTTCTTCTGAGAAGAGTTTGTATAATTAGATGCAGATATTACCATCAAAGAGGTGCAAATTGCTATTGTGAGCCTTCCAGCTGGAAAATCCCCATGAATTTTACAGGACACTTATGGAAATTTCAGCAGCTTGTTCTTTCTCTGTCATTCACAGAGCACTGGAGATTGGCAAAGTTCCTCCATCAATGGCTGCGGTGATAATTATAGTAATTCTCAAGACCATTAATAATCCTATATTATAGTCTTCTTACTGTCTCTTTCTTTCTTTGGAACCTTCATGTGAAATTACTAGACAAAACACTGGCTTGTCATTTGAACAAATTTGCAGAGTTGCAGGAACCAAGGAAAGCTTAATACCAGGTAAAGGTCATGTATGAATATTCAATATAATACTCCAGCTTCTCCGCTACATATAACAATTTCATCTGTAAGGCATTGGCATTCTGCTGAATGGGAAATAGACACCATGGAATGGTGATATTTTTGGGAAATTCTGCAGCAGTATTGGATCAATCAAAGCTTCCTTTTCTGGATCCGATTACACTGTAATTTGCCACAAGCGCGGATAGCTGCGGTCACGGAGCCGCCCACCACCGCTGATCGCGCTAGCTGTGCCATTATTTTCTAATGGCACCCTAGCCACGCCAGGCGGATTGCACGGTTTCCCGCCGCGATTCTGCCTGTGCATTTGAACACTATCGAACACTATCGTAGCTAAAAAAGCCAAGCGTCGTGTGTTGCAAAAAAGGTACATGTACCTTTTTTCTGTGATTGTGGTATGCATGTAACCTCGCGAGCGGCAACCGCTGTGTGCAAATGCACCCAACGCGTGGTCCCGGGTTGCGTGTCCCGAATCGCCCAAGTCTGCACCAGCCGTTACACATTTAGCCCTCACAGACAGGTCCATTTTGTCTCATTGATCACGCAGAGTACATTTTTAATAATTCATTCTCTCTACCTCTATAAAATTTTGTGTTTGTTTAAAAAAAAAAAAATTTTTTCAAGTGAATGCTGCTGATCTTTCTCAGTCCATTTCAGCCAATTCCTATCTACATGCACTTGCTGCAAATCATTGCTCTGCATTGGTTTACTGTAAGTGACAACGATGGACGAAGCAATCTGCATACCAATAAGATTTAAAATGTTATTCACTAAGCTGCCGAAGGCAGCCGAGTGAATAACCGAGCCGAAGTGAAGTGAGCCGAACAACGTTCGGCTTTTGACGGGAACTGTCAAAACCCCTGAACAGCGATTGGCCGCAGTCACTCTTCGGCCAACAATTTTCAACCAAGCTCCTTCAACAAAAGACAACTGAAAATAAACTTTCGCCAAGCCAGCAGGGACACCCACTGTAAGAATTTCAGCCAACTCATGTGAATCAGCCAAAATTCTAACAGTGTATGGCCAGCTAAAGATTAGTGGTTGTTGAGGAATGTGAATTGTCACATGTGACATCCTATTTTGGCTCACTGCATGTCAAATAAGCTATTAGGTCTCAGCCCATACAGTTTATTTGGCGCATAGTAGAATGTGTAACTGTCTTGTACCATCATCCTCTTGGCACCCTACTGCACACCTTTATTGCACCAACTATTGACAAACTAATTTTCTACATTATTACTTAATTGGTGCAGATTGTGAGACTTTTTCTGCAAAAAGTGACACAGGATTTTGTTTTACAATTGGTGCACTAGTCACATCTTTCTTTTAAAACTCTTCAAATTAAAATAACATTTCACACATCAAAAAAGCCAAATATCTGACGCACCGACAATAGTTTATCTGACCCAATGTGTTCAAAATCTTAGTTTTCTTCCTTGAAGCTGGCTATGAACATATCAATGTTGATCCATGGGTGGCCCAGCGATCACCACTGGTTCAACAAAAGTCAATTTTTTAATCGACTTTTGTCACAGGAATATGGTGGAAGATCATTGGTCGAACAGTGACCACATCCAATCACCTGCAATCACTATTAGGGTATTCTGACAGCTGTCATAATACAATAGCTGGCAGGGGGAGAATTCCTCATCCAAGCTGATTAGCATGGATGGGGGAATCAAGTGGTTTTTTTTCCACAGTCTGAATGAGAAAAATCATGCATCATCTTTAGACAG